TATTTCGAGAATACGTGTTGATTTGCAGCGAGTCGAAATTCTAGTTTGCAAATTTTATCATTTTTGTGACTACGTAAGAGATCGGCAGCCGGTACTTCCGCTCAACAGCGAGTCATGAATGAGAAACATCCACATCTCGCACAGTAACCAAAAAGAATCGCTTGTCTCGTGCACACCGCATCGTTAAAATATAATGCCGGCGTTATTCGAGTGTTATCTTGCGAATAAAGCGTTGGTATGAAAAGACCAACCATCTCTCCTTGTCTTCCAAATCTTGAGGACGAATTTATAATAAATACAAGGCAATATTTTATTCTTTTTTTTTATTTATGTAGTTTTTTTCTTCAAACCTTTGTTAATAAGTTTCGACGTGTTTTTTTTTTTTTTTTAACATCTTACAAGTGCTGAAGATTTTGAATTGTTAAATTGTCAAAGTTAGAGAAAATTGCGCGATAAATACAGAAAATTTTTAGCAACGAGATGGAGAACGCGAATTTTGAAGTTTCGATTCGACGTGTCAAGTGGTAAAACAATTCGAGCGCGCGCATTACGCGCACCTTAACTCATATCAAATAAGTAATTTGACGACGTTATTGTCGAAGTTTGGCGCTCGCGTCACCTGCTCCAACCGATGTACTTTCCTATGCTTAACTTGAGATCGTAGATTGCATCGTACGTGGGAACATGAGATAACTAAATTGCTTTCTCTCTCTGGACGCGAACCAAAAGTAAAAATACAACTCAACGTTTACATTTCTTTAAAAGTAAAGAAAACTGATTTTTCATTAAAAAAACGTACATACTGTATATCGCGTGTCAAACACAAGTACCTTCAGTTGGGGATTGTTTTTTTTTTTTAAAGAGACACGTGATTGATGGCTTCATTCTTATCGAAGAGAATGAACCTTAAATCTCGAGCCCTCGAGGGAAAAAAAAATTGATCAGTCAAGTAATCCGTCGGCTTATGCGCGACGTATCGTTGGCTACAGAAGCGAACCAAATTGGCCATTAGTATCGCTGACGTAACACCGTTGCCGTCGACTTCCGCGAACGTCTTTGGGTCAGCGCTCGACACTTCGATTTAGAAACTCACGTCGCTTGAACTTTCCCATTACTCGGTTAATTTGAATCCGTCTCGCGCCGCGACACGTGACTAACGATCGAGCTCATTGATCTCGCTCTTGATACATCGCGTCGCCCCCGATCGCGTTCAAGATGATATGACGAAAATAACGATATCACACTTTTTTCTTTTTTTTAGACCGAATAACATTCATTTTATTATTTGTCTGTTAACTTGTCATCAGCACTTGATGAGTTTTGTTATTATTAACTTTTGTTGTTATTATCAATACTTTGTTGCTCGAGTGTTTTTTGTTATAAAAATTCTCGTATCAGGATGGCTCTTGTAAATATTTAATAGATATAATATCACACACGCACACGCTCATACACACAAAATTATTTATGTAAAAAGCCGAGTAATCGTTTGCCATTTCGAATATTTTTGACGTAAATTCGATATAAAATTTATCGCAAGATACGGCATGATAAATGGCACATTAATCGAGATTATCTACCAAAATTATATTTACAATAATTAAATTTTGGTTTGCTCACGGCAATAATTGATATTATCCGTTCCTTCGTGTTGAATTCATGAATTCTAAAACAAAACTACGTGTTTTGAAAAAAAAAGCTATCTAACTTTCCGAAATAATAAAGTGATGATGCGTGCACGTGCAGCTATACTTGCATATATATGTATATGTAAATATGCAAATATCGAATTATTGCGTTTGCGGCGTTATTGTATTCCCTAGTTACTGAATGTATGAAATGTTGCCTGTATGTTGAATGTATATTGCCAAGATATACTCTCAAAATTTGGAAATATATAAACAATTTACGTTTGTTTTACAAATGTAACAATATATACGTCGTGTGGAATTAAAATTTTATAAATTACATAAAATTTTGTAAATTACACAAATACATACAAAAATAAAGATTACATAATCACATAAAGAAATATATAGTTAAAATATACATACATAAAGAAATCGAAATAAAGATAAAATTGTAAAATTGCCGTGAGATAAGATGTACGAATAAGTTATACGACATAAGGCGTATACGAGTTCAAGATTGCTGGAAATACGCGGCATGGAAATAGTGCGATAATGAATTCAATCATCGTGAGGAATTTCAATGAGGAAGTCTCAGTAAAGGTAGATCAGCCTCGAGGAAGAGAGAAGCAGAGTGAGATCCCGGCGTAAAAGAACTTTTCAATCTCTCTCCTCTCCGTGGTCCTTCGTAAGGGTGAAAGGATCTCGCAAGTCGTACGATTCGTTTTACGTTCTTGCTCAGTGCCCAACGTTTCTGTTTCTCCCGCTCTCTTTTCCACCTTCTCGCGCTCTCCCTCCGAGAGAACTCGTGAAGCCTCGCTCGGTGTCACGCGAAGGTAAAGAGAGTAAATCACCCCTAGGCACTCACCTTAACGAGAATAAACGCGCTCGTTTTCCAAGTACAAGCTACCCCTAAAGCTGCCACTATTTAGCCATTTTCGGTTGAATGCGATAATATGAGAGACTCTTTAAATTGGTTTAAGACCTTTGAAATGTCTGACGACGTTTGTTACGTTTATTTCTAATTTCAATAAAGAAAGATTATCTAACAATTATAAATTTGTTTATTACTTAACATTTGCACCATACATTTTAATATATTTCTTAAAAATGTCACAACAAGTCTTTCTCTTTCTCTCTCTCTTTTTCTCACTCTTTCTTACTCTTCCACAATAATTCTTTTAATAAAAATGTGATGACATAATGTGACAGAGCTGAATTTAAAAAAAGCAACCGTTAAACATAGAAGACAAACGATACGGCGACACAATGGACGGAATGTTTCACGTTGTAGTGGGTGCTTGAATGTAAAGAACTATTTAACGATTCACTTTGTTGTGATCTTGCAATGAAAAATGATCGGGGCTCAGTTGTAAGAGATAGGGACGCAAATGGGGAGGAAACGTGTCGAGCGTAGGGTGAGAGAGCGAAAGAAGGCGAAGGTAGAAATACAAGAGGCGGCTGATAACCTGCCGTCTGAATCAATAGCCTCCTCGTTGTAAAGATCTTCGTGGAAAACGCTTCTCCAAAGTGAGAGGGATTTCTTTGCGAGGCGTTATCGCGTGCGTTTGAAACTCGCCGGCGCTTTAACAAAACAAAAAAACTAACCGATTTTCACTGAATTAATCTGGAACATCGGCGTATTAAATTCTTTTAATCTTGAATCCTCTCATAAGAATCCTCCTCGCGCGGCGATGCTGACTAGGTTCTCGCGATTGCGCGAGAATATTGACAATAAAACAACGACTCGCGCGCGTCGTACGCCCGTTCGTTCTCGTTATCGCGACAAATAATAATCCCCCGTGCCGCAATACCGGACATAAGCCGAGAAAAACACTAGCGTGGCGCACTATACATCTCCGATCCGGCATTTATCGTGCGTCACAACCTAGCGCGAACCCGCAACCTACAAACAGCGAGAGACCAGCATCTCGTAAGAAACCAGTAAAAAACTGAACGGAGAAAAAAATTTGTACAGCACACGCTTGAACGAAGTTCATAAAGAACAACGATTGAATTGACCGAGTTCTCGTGCGGCGTGAGAAATAACCTGGCGACGACGACGTCGCGATCGAAATGAAACGATCGCATTAGGTACGTGGGTGTGGTGAAAGTTACATCCCGAGATCTTTTCTATGTTTTTGTTGCAATTCGTCGTCTGTCCGTGAAGGTTGGTAACAAATATTCACAATTGAAATATTTGAGAAGAATACCGCGTGTTCGGAAGACAAAATTTCAATCGCACAAAAAGCAGTTTAACGACCCAAATAAAGACAGAAGAGAGTTTTGAAATGATGTATAATTTGAGAAAAATGCAGAAATTTCTGAAACGAATAATTTAAAGGTTTTTCTATATTCTCTTTTAGTTTTATAATAATTATTAAAAAAAAAAAAAGGAAACAATAAATTCTAGTACTATACACTACGTTTTATATAAAACATGATTTAAAGCAACAATTGACACGATTTTTATTCTTTTTATTCTTTTTTTTTTTTTTTTGTAAGCTTGGTAGTTCACAGTTCGGATTTAGTCGAGCAGTTTTTCAGATAACCTTCCGTTTGGTGGCATACAATAAAAAATAAAACCATTCAAGCTTACCTCACACGGCATAGGGTTTTCAAAACTGAAATATGCAAAAGCATTTTTCTGCGATGCTCGCGCGACATTTTCAAGAAATTATCTTGTGTAATTTCCTACTCTTTTCTCGTGCCCTTTTACCATTTAGACAGAAAATGATTTAGTATTTTATCGGTAAATTTGCCTCGCGACATGTCGGATTATAGCTTTCCACAAAACTTTATATCCATGTTAAATACTTTGTAAAAGAAGAATATTTATGACGTGTAAATTTTCATAAAAATTTATTGTCTTTTATAAATTCATCAAATTTTGTGTGCGCGCAGAAAATGAAACTTTGGGGTTACTAAGAAATATAAACTTTTAAGTAAATCTATTTTATTCTAAGAAAATTTGGAAAAACTTTATTAAAAAAGTTATATTATTTTAATCAAAAGAGAGAACGACGTGTTCAAATAAAAAAAAAAATTTGAATATATCGAAGATATTGTGATTCGGAATATATCTAGGATATTGGGATGTGTATATATCGCTGGTGAAAGAGATGCAAACAGAAAGGGGTAAGTAAAGAAGGAATAGGGCTGAATACACGTGCAGGACGCGGGGAAGGCGAGAAAAGAGAGTGGTGGTTGCCTCGTCAAAAAAGATGAAGTCAACGCGGTTTTCAGGGAGGGTAACTGCACACGGGGCCGAGCGGCTATGTGAGGGCGGGGGTTGCTGTTCTTTAAGGTAGGGGGCATGCGCGGCATCCGGGGGTGCAGAACGGCTCTCGGAGGTTAGTCGCCTGCCAACATCACGACGTGCTGCTCGCGCCTCGGTATCGCTGGATTTACGCACGCACTCGCTTTTTTTTTTTTACTCTCGTTGTCGCACTGTCAACCTTGTTTGTTGCTGTCCAAGGAAATGATACGACAGTGATCCGGCGTCAATCCGAGAGAAATCGTCTCGATCTGCTCGATTAATTCTTTTTTTTTTTTTTTTCGGCGCTGAATTCCACGATACACCGAAATCGCGATTTTCGAATTCATCGAATAGTGCGTGTATTCGCGCGTAACAACATGGAACGTAGTCGCGATTCGAAAATGCGGTAGTGTATAGAAGAAAAACGCTCCGATCGATTCGTTAGAATGTGGATCACGCGAGACGAGAGACAACTGACATGGTGATTTATTCGCCGGGACTTATCCGGGACTAGTTCGGAGTTCAGCGAGTTCGGAGTTTAGCGAGTTCAGTTTGTCAATCATCAATGGGACGGATCGAAATGATAAATCGCAATGACGCAAATGAATGCGCACGTAGGAATATACGTTCGTTTTCGAAATCAGTTCGTATATAAGCAGTGCTGCGTGTCGTCAAACGAGCTGTCGTGAGATTTATCGCAAAGTTGATACGCGATATCTCGCGTACAGCCGCAACGGAAACGTAGACCGGAAGTGACTGCATCGTGTCACTGCGGTGAACGGCGCGTAAAAGTGCGCGCAACTCTGAGCCACAAGTAACAGCTCTTTTTCTGGATCTATTGTGTCGCGAGGGAGACTTGCTGGGAATCCCGCGGAGTTAGCATAGGATTGAGCTGCACTTGCGGCTATACGGATGCATTTCCGGAGTAACGTGTTGCAAACGGAGAACGCCACCTCGTCCAGGAAGTTCGTACACCGTGTCCGAAAAGTGTAGTTCCGAGATCCGTAAGTCAACTTCATTCGTTTTTTTTACATCGGTGTGGGTGTCTGTGTGAATATATATTGCAGCTTTTTGTGAAGTGATAAAAAACTTTCTCTGATATATATATATATACAAAGTGTTAAAAAAAAGCGGTTTTTATAACGGGATCTAATCTTTGAGTAATTGTCGGCGTAGTATTTTCGCATCCTTAGTTTGTTTTAATAACAAAAAAAAACAATTACTCAGATAAAACAATTACTCTTGAATAAGATTTGTATTTGTTCCTAAAAGAAAACACTAATAATCTGATATTTGATGCTTTCGCGGTGTGTGTTGTATTAACATTTCCGAATGTTAAGACACTAATAAGTTTTACATTATGAATAACGACATTATGGTTAATCAAGAGACACGCAGAGTAATTGAAGATATAAATTTATAAAACAAAATTGAATTAAAACGTATATTACTTTGTAAAACAAAACTGAATTAAATGTGATATATAAAATTTGGTGAACTAATTTAATTAAAAGTTATTAAATTTATTAAATTTGGCAAAATGTTACTCGTTTACAAATTGTAAGACTAAATGTAATGAAGCACATTCAGTGGTTAATACAATAATTAACAAGAGGTGCGCGAATTGACGGTGTTTCAAATATCGTGCTAATATTCGTACAATGTGCGTGTACGAATATCCGCATGAAAGATTAATGACGCTTGTGTTTAAAACGGCGCAATAATAGCAGCAACAATTTTGGTAGCATTTCGGTGCAACAATAACAATAATATGTGTACACTTGACGCAACACTCGCGACGTTGATAAACCGGTTAAAATACATATCACACGGTATTATCGCGATTAAACAAACTATAAAATATTTATAATAATAACAAACTATAATTTTTTATAATAACGTTCCGCAAAAAAGTTTTTCACTTAGATTTTCAGATCTTCTATACGCGCGCAACAGCGAACGATGATGATGATGAGCAACGAATATACATCGATTTACGTACATATACGCTCGAGACGATATAAACGTACCTAATACAATTTATCAGCGATGCCGCGAAAATTTTTCTGCCGAATATGCAGTCGGCCGTATATATGCAACGCTGAATATGCAATGCGTTTTCTAACTTACATCTCTGGCGGAAGGAGTTTTTTTATTGGACGGTAGCTCTCAAATGCTTTTGCGCTGTAATAAAAATGCTCAAAGCTAATCGATTATCTATCAGTTCTCGAGTTTAGATCCACGTTTTTCGGAGTTAGTTTCGAGTTAGTTTGCTTGCAAACTCATCGTATATGACGCTACTGAAATTATACTAGCTGCGCGTCTCCATCAGAGAGAGAGAGGAAGAAAAACGGAAACGCGCGCGATAGAATATTCAGGTTTTTGAAAAGAAAAACAGTTACAAACTTCGGATATTCGACGTTTTGTCGTGCCAGATGATGTATCTAACGTCGTGAGATCGTTTTTTTTTGAGCGAACGTCTTAAAATCTTTCAAGACAGCTGTCGGCGCGACCGTAAATCACATTTGACAACTTAAGTAATACGATACAGTGCGGATCTCGATTCGATATGATTACGTCATTCGTGCATTGTGCGCGCGAAGATATTTAACGTTTAAATCGCAGACGTGCGCATCTACATGTCGTTTTGATCGTCGTGAGCGTCGAAACGAGATACATCTCAGTGCTCGAAAATGAATCGGAAACAAGAAAACGCAACGACCCGCCGCTCGAGCCGCATTTCCGGCGCATCGGAACAAAACAGATGGTGTGTGTTTGAAACGGGCGCGAGATCATCGCCATTGTCGCGCTCCCCGACACGCGCCATGGGATTTAGATTATTCGCGAACGCGCGAAATAGGTAATTCACCGCTAGTCAACTATTCATCTTCATTCACGAGGCGTAATTTCGCGAATTACCGTCCATCTATCGCGTCCGCCTACGCTATTTCTATGTGTGTACGCGTGACATCCGGAGAAACGCGATCAGTATTTTCTGGACACAATGGCCGAGTGGCAGAGATTACGCCGCGTGTCCGCTCGATGAACGCGGCGGATTTCCGTCGACGCGGCGCGTGATAATAGAATTTTTCCGTCTCGCGGCGCGGAGAAGGTTTCCGAGTAATACCTTAATGAATCGTCCTGCTGAATATCGCGGATCCATCAGCGAACTTGTTAAAACGAATAATTAACACGCGCCCCATTATCGGCGTGCCGCGTACTACTACTACTACTACTACTACTACTACTACTCTGTGTCGGCGATTCTTTTACTCGCTGGAACGCGCTACTCAATCACCGGAATTACGTGCTCTCTACTCGTCTATCGTAAAATGAATCAATTTAATCCATGGGGAGCCATAACGGTTTAACGCTCGGATGGTTAAAACGTGCTTGCGGGGTCGGTGAAGCTTAATGAGTGCAAATGGCACACAAGCGGAGTAGATTAGCCTGGTTTTTTTGATAGAATTTCCATGTTTTTATATTTCGCGTCGCCATAAAGCGAAAAATTGTTTTTCATATTTATCTCCATCTGTTTCGATCATGTTTATCTGGGGAGGGGAAGAAACGCTTGGGTTTGGCAAATGGATTTGATATACTGCGAAATGAATTCCTTTCGGAAGTGATTGATTATCAATATTTTGGAAATTGATACGCACACACTGCATCGGCCGGTAGAAAGAAAAAAAAATTGTTTGATTGTATCAAGCACCGATTTTGTATGTTGTTGGTATTCGGCGCAAAGAGTGGTTTAATTATCTGCAATTTAAAAATTGCATTACACACACGTAGTAGTCTTTCTTTTTTTTTTTTTTTTTTTATTTCATTTTCGCGCGCGAGAAACGCGCAAGATTTCCGAAAAAAAAAGAATAAATAAAATTAAATGCAGTTTAATCGAGTTAAATCAGAAGAAGTAAATGTGTCTCGCGAAAACCGGCATTTCATATGGCACACATGTTTAAACTGAATTAAGTACACCAAGACGCGTTCTTTGTTTTTTTTTTTTTTTGGAAAAAAGGAATAATCTTATTTTCATAATAAAACACAAGTACTCGCATTACCGGGATAACACGCAATGCAATTCTGCTTCTAATTTGCAATACGTTAAAAATGCAGTACGCATTTTCAAGGAGAATCCTTTTGCCGCGCTAAAGACGCTTCTGGCTACGCCACGTTTGCTGTGTAATGTGGGTATGCAAATTGAATTAATAATAACACTAGCGGGTGAACTAACTGCGCACACACAGAGAGAATCTCTCGCAAGCTGCTCGTTTCGCGCTGCTTCTACTTGATGACGATTCGTGAGAGAATGTGCTCGCGTGGGAGAGAATTAATTACTTTGATTATGATTAGCTGTGTGTTATGCAAATCGCTTGGAGAAGTGGACGCGCGACCGATATTCGGCCACTTCGCTAATTGCTCTTCGATTTATTGACAATTCTCGCGTGTCTGAAATTCCCGCGAACGTAAAACTCGCCCATACACGGAAACGCGTTCGCTATTAGATGCGAACATTATTGGTGTCGAGAGTGACACGAACGTTATATTGGCGAATTGAAGCTATATATTTGCGTTAAACGTGCAACATTACCGGATACACACTCAAACTCAATAATAACAGAATAATAATCGCAGTAATTATGTATGCAAAAAGTTGTTTTGCGAGAATAAAAACAATTTTATAAAAAAGAATCTTTTCGCAAATCGCGATACCTGGCATTTTATTAACCGCGAGGTTAATCGATCACTCGCCACACTAATCCCATTTCAATAGATATCGTTTTCACGATTATAATTCAAAGCATTATCGAGTCGCGCCGTGCGGCGGATAACTTACGCGGTACGACAGCCTCAAGGTATTGCGGAATGAGAAGATGATCGATTAGCTATTTTCAACTTTTCCTATCCGATATAAGCGCGCGCACTTCGCAATTCAAATTGCGCGGGACCTGATGCCGCGCTTCATTCCCGGTTGAGAAGCGTTCAGGATTTTCGAGGATATGATCGAATGTGCTCTTGCCTTCCTCCTCGTCTTCGTTAATTCCCGCTCTATCGTAGTACGTGTGCGCGTATGCATGTGCGCGTGTAACTCACATCTCTACATGTAGGTACTCTCGTCGACCGAATTAGGACTTGTCCATTCCTCCGCTCGACACAAATGCGACCCGTAGGAACTGTCATAAAAAATTCCATTTCACGCTTCCACGAGAAGAGCAATAATAGCTCGCCCAGTTCTTCTTCGCGTGCAGATTTCTTTTTTTTTCTCTCTCTCTCTCTCTCTTTTTCTCTTTAATGTTATGACGAGCCACGGACAAATTACGGCAGACAGGGACCGTCCGTTCCCGTGTGCGACACGTTGTCGCTTGTCACGTCGGTAATCATAAGATCGGGAAGAGAATACCTTCCGCTCTCATCGATGTTACGCGACGCATGACGGCCGTAATGACAGCAACGCGTCTCATTTCGTAAAATATGCGCAACGGATCCTTGACATTTCATTATTCTGCAAGAAGAGAAAAAGAAGTGAGAGAAAAGGATGAAATAACATTGTTAACATAAGGGGAACAGTTGTTGAAAATTTGTCCTATATTTCATTTGATCTCTTTGATATAGCAGATAAACACGTATTATACACATATATGCACTCACGTGTGTACATTACGTCATGTACATTGTCAAATGTTTTGTGACAATGTATAAACAGAACGGAAAAAAGTAAAAATAAAAAAGAAGAAATTCATATTTTACGTCAAAAAAAAATAAATGTGCCACAAAGCAGATTTATATCGCGAATATGTATATAGTCCGCTTATAAAAAAATCTATTGCGCAAATTCTACATCATCAAAATATATATTTCACGTCTCTTGTTTGCCGAATGTTCGCGTATTGATATTAAATAGCACATATAATCCATTACGCTCGTGTAATATTCGAAAAGTTGAACGAATTGAACGCTCACATCGAAGTTCTCACACGTACGACAATTTCGATCTTCGATATAC